AATTTTCCCCTCCAATTCTTTCCCCAATTCTTTTACTCTATATTATATAAAGATATCTAATAATGGAATATCCATATATTGTCATACTTAATCTTATTTAATTTAGTTTATTTAAATTTACTATGGTTGTATTTGAATTAATTACACTTTTGGTCCACTCTATCACTTTATTCAATTTCGATACTTCACTAATGTTTTTGATCATTTGTGGTCCTCTTCCGGTGATTTTAATCACCTGAAACATAGACGGAAGGACCATATATGGGCGAAGACGCAATAATCGCGTATCAAAAGTGGTTCGAGTTAAAAATGTGGATCAATTGTGAAATTAGTAGATACTCATGAAATTTATTAATCTTATTTTTTAATTAAGTTTGTGACTCAAATAGGCTAAATTAAACAATCCTACACATATACTACGTATTTGTGACACATAATTAAAAATATGTTTAATTAGGGGAATTATTTTTGGGGAGATGTGATACTTTTTTTAATTATTATTTAATACTCCATATAAACCTTTAAAATTGAAGTGCGGCTAATAAAGAATGACAGAATGGCTCGTTAGTAATAAGGTAAGTTCATGTTCGGGCATGGTATAAGGGATATGGCCCCATTAATTGGGTTCGTATATAATACACCCGGATGTACGGGTGAGAACCGTACATCCACGTATTTTTGTGATTTTGCTTAAATTTCAGCTTTATTTGTTCTTCTCACTACTCTTGATCCAGCCCCGTTTGAGCTCTGAAGTTTTATCCGCGATTGAATTTGAGAGGCGTAGGTAGTTGCGGAAGTGGATTGTCCAGCGTCCATTTTTTTTCGAGACTTCCACTTCTTCTTTTCATTTTCTTTCCTCTTAATTGTGTTTTTTAAAGTTCCTCTTAAATATGTTAACAACTCTAATTTGAATATAAATTTAATTTTTGAGATGAAGATTTGATTAAATATAATTTTCTCTCTTTCATTAATAATATTGTAGTTTATTTTAATTAGCTTACAAATGTTGAATGTCTACTAAGTGTTGGAAAAACTTACAGTGTGAAGGTTCATTTCTCTTTCAATGAAATACTAGTATCTCATTGTTTGTTCACTTGATTATAATATTAGATGAGCATACCCAAATTGATATATGAGCATACTAGAGATTTTAAGTTAGTTTTTAAATTTTTCGATGCTCATTTCATAAGTTTTTTTATAACAAAAATATATGTTTAAGTTGACATAATAATAAACTTGTAAAGAGCCCAAATTTTGTGTTTAATACATATGAAGATTTAATAAGTCTAAAGAACAAAATGCAAAAATCAGAACTAGTTGAGAAAGGACAACAGCTAAAACTCGAATTGCTTAGCATAAAATTTTCTTGAAGAGATAGATTTAGTCTTCATCGTCCTCAATGATAGTGGTGCCCACGCCCTTGAGTCCCTCTGGAGCCTCAGCAACAGTAACCAGTGAGTAATGTTCTTCCTTCGCATCTTCATCATCATTCCTCTTCCTTGCAATTCAGACACGGACCCTTCTTGGCACACTTCGGATCCCTTTGCTCCAAATCCGTTTGTTTAGTTTCACATCAACCCTAACGTCTGTCGTTCCCATTGCTTTTTTAGCAAACTTTCTTATCTCCTTTATTGCCTTGGGTGCCTTCTTCTTGAAGGTGCATCCATGCAAGCGTTTGTGGAGATTGATGGTGTACTCTCTGGTCACAACTTCATCTTTCTTGGTTGCCCTCGGCTTCCCCGACATTGTTGTAGAGCTCTCCCGATCAGCAGCTTCTAATCTGAAGCTCTATCTGCTTCTCTGCTCATTTCATAAGTTATCTACATTGTTCTAAAAATCGGCCTAGGCGGACCGATTAATCGGCCTAGGCGGCCCTAACCGTAGAGGCCGAATCGGCCTAGTCGGCCAAAAAATCGGCCTAGTCGGCCTAGTCGGCCGCCTAGGCGCTAGGCGCCCCTCAACCGCCCGACTAGCGCATAGCGAGTTTTAGAACAATGGTTATCTATAATCATTTGATATTGGTCTAAAAATAAGCATTAATGTACTTTTAGTGAGCATCTGACATGTTTTATTGAGTATTAGGAGGCTAACAATGAGTATCACGATCTCTACTTCATATCTTCTAATTCTTTTCTTTTTCTTATTTTTTCTTTTATAAAAACTTTTTAAATTATATCTATAATTAATACACTCCTATGAACTTCAATATGGGAATTTAATATGATACTTTTTAAATATGTATTGAAATGACATTTTAAAATGAGCACAATATCATTACCAAATGAGCATACGTAACTCAAAAAATGTTCATTAATATGAAAATCGTAAGGTTTGTTAGTTTGATATAAAGACATTTTCATTGCAACAAACCTTCTCTATTGAGATGAAAATCACGATTTCTGTAAAATGAGCATTAAGGAACTTTTAAGGTGCATCAGACCTATTATGAGCATTAAAATAATTTTGTTGAGCATCTAACTTATTCTGTTGGGTATTAGGAACCTTACAATGAGCATTGTAATATATGCTTCGTATCTTTTAATTCACTTTTTTTTTTACAAAAACTTATTAAATATTATCTATGATGATCAAGTTCTATGAACTTCGATCAATACGCGAATCTAATGTCATATGCAACTTTAAATTTGCATGGATATGACAATTTAAAAATGATCATAATATGAGTATATATTGAGCATACGTAATTTACAAAATGAGTATTGATATGAAACTCATAAGTTTTGCTTATTGAACTTCAAGACATTTTTATTGAACATCAAACCTCCTGTATTAAGTATTGAAAACATGCAATTGGGTATCATATTATGTGCTTCTATATCTATAATGAACTCCTGCATGAATCTAATTTAATTAATATGATACCTTTGAAATATGAACTTATATGAGATTTTAAAATGAATATAATGTCAGTACTAAATGAGCATACATCACTTACAAAATGAGTACCAAAAGAAAGTATTTTAAATCACTAATGTGCTCAAATCCTCATTTGTCTATGCTCATTTCGTTTAAACATTATGCTCATTTGGTATGTGAGATCATGCGACAAGGGTTATTGGATTGATTTGTCAAGTCAATCTCAGCGGAATCTAGTCTATACGGAGCATTAACGTTGTCATATAGAATCTCTACAGCATAAAGATGGAGGAACCGTAACGAATCAAAGACGGACCAAGGCGGGGGCTATTAGGCAATCCAGGCTAAACTCGAACGAAGTATTTCAATCTATTGTGAAAGGAATGAAAAAGGAAAAGTGTTGAATAAAGAAAAGTAGAAAACGATCATTATTGCTCTGTGAAATCAAGGATTAAAGCAACAACAGTTCTATCTCTTTCCAGTTTTGTATGCTTCAAGAAACCAATCTTTCGTCAGCAGATCAGTTCTTCTCCGGTGCCATCCTGCTCCCCTCTACTGCCCTGCTTCTGGAGACACAAATACGAGCTTCATCGGACCTTCAATGGAAAACTTTGTTTGTCGGCAACCAATCTTTCCTCAGCAGATCACTTCTTCTCCGGCGGCGTCCTGCTCCTCCTCTGCTGCCCTGCATCCGGAGACACAAATCCGAGCTTCAATGGAAAACTCTATTTGTCGGCTGATGTCAACGGATAAGGTTGGTGCAACATGTATGGAGCAAGAGAAGAAGCCTTAAAGTTGCATGGAATTACAAAATAACTGAATGTACGCATACACCCGGGTGTACCATATAATTTGAGCTTTTAATTAATCGCTTATAAGATTTCAGGTCATGTCAGCAAAGCTCAATACCAAAGGCTTCCATTATTAATCCCTTATAGGATTTTGTAGTCAAACTTAAATCAACTTTTGTAATAAGGGATGAATGAGGAACATGTGTTATAACAGAGCATCCGTTATTAATTTCTACCTTATTCATAACTCCTACTTTACTTCTTAAATAATGTGTCAAATCAAATGTAGTGAACATTAAAATACGGAAGGAGTAATTTCTATCACAAGCAATGCATAAATTTCTGTCAATTACTCCTCCCACTCCCAAAATATTGTTTCCACGGTGAAAACCTAGAAAACTAATTACTAGTCACAAGCAATGCAAAATTGTAAATTGCAGTGGAGTCGGTGGAAATCTAAAAACTGACCATCCATATCCTCCGAGGGTCGCAAATAGCACCGAGATTACTTGATGCTCAATTATGATATACGGAGTACTCCGTATAAAAGGGCTTATATTTATCTAAAAAAACTTAAATACGGATATTAAACAAATCCTAAAGTACCTTAAAAGTTTTAATTTTGGGTAGAAAACTCAACGTTTTAATTTTGTGGTCGAGGGGGAGTTATCACGGAATCAAAGGACGATATATTGCAGACCTACCAAGTACGAAAACGAGTGAGAAAATGTACTATTGAATTGCATTTGTAGTAGTTGGGAGTCCAAATTGTTAAATTTTGGACTCCGTCTATATGAAAACAGTGTTTTGGCTCCGTCAATACTGTTTTTCCCTGCATCCGTGCACCGTCAATAAAATACACTCAACATATTTTTTTACATATCAATTTAGTAAAACATTAATTAATTTATTATAAGTAATGTTTTCCGTTTAATATTTTCCCTAAATAATTGTGAAATAAAAAATACACATTTTGATATAAAAATAAATAAATTTCATTAATTTTTTTTTAAATGTTTTCGGTTAACAAAAATGAACTTAGTTCAAGTAAAGTTCGATTATGAAATATTCAGTTATTTGTGAAGATTCCATGAATTAAAAATTTGTGTTTCATCGTTTTGTAAACGAAAGAAAACTTCAACAGTTAACACTTAAGAATTTTTGTTTCATTTTATATATTACATATTGGTGTCATATGAAAGATCATAAAATTTTATGAATTTTGTTATATATTTTGAAAAATTCGGAGAACAAATAAAAAAGTTACAAGAGTTTAAAACAATTTGGGATTATAATGATGTCACCATGATGTCAGTGAAAACATGGTTTGGCCCGGCATGCAGCGTACGAATCCATCCCATCCCCTTTTTTCTTTTCTTTTTTATTTATTTTTGGCTGTCAACCCCTCCCTCTATATTTACCCTCCCCCACTTCTCTTTCCATTTTTACTCCCCCTTTTAATTCTCCACTACACACAAATAAGAATCTAAAATCTCCATTTTTAATCTTTTGACTCGTAATCCCAAACCACTACAAATGGTTTGACGAATTGTAGAGCGAGGACAATAATTTGAGCTCAATAATGCCGTGTGTGGGGACAAAAATCGTAGAGCGAGGACAATAATTTGTTGTGCGATTAAAACATGCGCCTGGCCTGGAATTATTTCATTTCAGTGCAGACCTTGCAAACAAAGAGCTTGACGAATTGAAGTATTCGATCTAGCAGCATACATATACATGGGTGATGCATATATTGAGGTTGAATCTGAACTCCCAGAGGTAGTAGCCGCCGGCGAAGAAAAGTTTAACGAGGACGTTGACAGAGAGCTGATCCGGTCGATGGAAAAAGAGCTATCGGCTGATTGGCCGCGACGTCGTGTCGGGAAATTGGTGGACTACAGTTGCTGCATTTTCCGGGTACCCGTGAGGTTCGGGCAGAGGGGGATTGTACCGTCGACGGTGTCAATCGGTCCATACCATGACAACAAGAGGGAGGAGTATCGAGCGATGGAGAAGAACAAGCGGAGGAGCTTGGCGTCATTGCTTGAGAGGACGAGGGAGGAAAAGGGCTTGACTCTGGAGGACTACTTTGTCAAAGTCAAATGTCTGGAAGAAGAAGCCAGAGACTACTATTCTGAGGCCATCCCTCTGGCAAGCCATGAATTTCTAGCTATTTTGGTTGTTGATGGCTGCTTCATTGTGGAGCTTTTTCGGAAATGGTTCGGGATAGTTGATCTTGAGGAGGATGACCCATTATTTATTTTCGGGGATTCTACAGCTGTTGCCCTCTTGAATGACCTACTCTCCATCGAGAACCAAATACCCTTTTTCGTCCTCCAAGCCTTGTTTGACCTCACAAAATCTCCGGACGACGACCCCGGGTGGTCGCTGCCCTTTATCTTCCTCAACATCTTTCGTGACGACCCATCATTCAGTAGACCAGAGGCCATTTTGGACGGGGTTGAAGGCATCCGGTGGCGGCATTTACTGGAAATTTTGCGGTGGAGTTTCATCCAGCGGCTGCCTCAGCGTGAACCTCCACGCAAACCGCCGGGATTTGCGTGGAGCCGCGCCATTCTGAGGCAGCTGCGTGGAACCAAGGCGAAGGTCGTCCCAAAGAGCCGCGGCGGGATGCAGTGCATCTCTAAGCTGCGTAAAGCCGGAATCAAGCCGACGCCCAGCAAAGAAGGGGACAGTGTCCGAGCGATCGGGTTCAATGGGGGGACGATCGTAATGCCTCCGATCCGAATTGACGGCTTCATGGCGGCATTCCTGCAGAACTGCGTGGTGTACGAGCAATACCTTCCTGATAGATGCAAATCCATCACAGAGTACGCCATATTTCTGGACCGCCTCATAGACACGCACGCAGACGTGGGGGTTTTGCGCGAGGAAGGCGTCTTGACCAACTATTATGGGACGGATGGCGAGTTGGCGAAGGCGGTGAATGAGCTTGTGAAAGGCGTGAACACCTCCTTTTGTGATGAGGAAGGCGACTTGTCCCAAGTGTCTCGCCAGATCAACCTGTACTACAACAGCACTTATTGGCACTTTCATTGGGCCGCCTTCAAAGACAAATACTTCAACTCCCCTTGGTCCTCCATCTCTTTCTTCGCTGCCATTGTTCTTCTCCTCCTCTCCGTCACCCAGACTGTTTTCGCCATTCTCCCTTATTTCAAGCCTCTGCATTATGGTACGCCCGTCCTTGCCTCAATTGATTTACAAAGTCATTTCTTTTTGTCAAACTATCTCATTTTTTTTTTAATAATCAAACCATCTCATTTTATTGATATCACTTTTATTTATATTCAAATTGGATTTTGTAACTTTATATAGATTTCAATGTAGTCTTTGAATATATAAATTTAAATTATTAAAAATTGAATTAATTATCAATAGATATGATTTAACTTTAACACTGATTGACCAAAAATGTTGATTTTGCAAATCAACCAGAGACAGATGGAGTATTATTACATATAATTAAAGATATCACATCTATTTGAGCATTTTGAGTTCATCTTCTAATGAGTAACTTCACTACCACATGCAGGGGGAGTCAGGACACTGACCACATGTCCCCTAGACCCGCCATGACCACATGTACATGTTAGTTCAATCAAAAGGATGAAAGGAGCCCGGTTAATTTTTAATAGATGAATTTAGACAACCCCTATTATTAGATTAAGAGTAGGCTACATAGATTAAGTTAACAACCCCTATTACTTTAAATAAAGTGTATGACACTCTAGTGACTATTGTATAAATCCTGATGAATTCAAATACAAGATCTTATCGTACTTGATAATGAAATATGTAGTGAACTAACATAACATTTTATGGATTTCATTGTTAATGAAATATGTAGTGAACTAACATCACATTTTATGGTTTTCATTGTTATTGTTGGACATACATATCTGATAAGTTATAGAAAAATAAAAAGGCTATACACTTTATCTGTGTACATATGTAACATTAAGTTAAACGTACATATATTCAACATATATACACCCAATTATCTCTTATTATGTGACCTGGGTGAATTGTTTAATGAGTTGTTTTAATCGTTGATTGAGTTCTATTTATTATCTATCATAGTCAAGATTATGTTAGTTACTTTATTTTAATATTTTGACAAAGTTTTTAATCAAATGTCATCATACAAAGCACTAACATTTAAAGTGAATAATGATGTGATATGTACTTGTAAATTCATAGTGACTTTATTTTTTTTTTTAAATAATTCATAGTGACTTATCAACCATATAACTAATGAGTTTTCTTTTCTTTGCATGTACAGATAAAAAAGGGTAAGACGAAGTTTCTATGAGGAAAACGAGGGAGCGAAACATGTGCCAAAATCAGCTATCAAGAATGATTTTGGCGACTTCAGGATAGTTATTATTTTATTTAAGCATTTCAGTTTTATAATAAAGTGATAATTATTACTTAAATTTGATTGATAATTTATTTTTATATATTGAAGTTGGATAAATTTCTGGATCCATATATCATACGTAGTATATGGTTATCAGATTTGTTAGTGTCGATAACAAGATTTTATTAAGTTTTTGTTTGAGCTTATTTTATACCGAGTATACTCTACGAGATTTTTAGTAGGGTCCACTACTAGAAAATGGTGAATCAGAGAGAGGAATGTGAGGAAATAATGTTTCTATCTAATTCACAAAGGAAATTTGCAAGGAATTTTGTGGATTGATCCTCTCACTGGATTAGAAAGGAATTTTAAGCATTACAAAGGAACTACTACCTTCGTCCTTAAACTTTGTCAAAGTTGACCAGCACGGAAAATAATAAAGTAAAACTGTGTGGTTGAAGTTTGTGCAGAGAAGAGAGAAATAACAAAAACTACAAAATATTGATTAAAAAGGAATGTAACAAAGTTTTTAGGGGCGTCCCAAAAAGGAAAGATGACAAAGTTTTAAGAGACGGAGGGAGTATATATCTCCCCTTTTTTCATTAAATTAAAAAAGTAATAATAAATCCATTAGCAAGGAATTCAGCTCCACTCTAATTTTAGAGAATTATTAATTCAATTTGAAAGGAATTACATTCCTCTGTTTTTAGGATCAACCGATTAATAAGTTGTGCAAAAACAAATCAACCCACCTTCATCAATACATCCTTCATCAATACATCCATCACTTCTTCATTTTAGTCATAAATATGTAATTATTTCTATTTTTAAATAGAATGATTTCGTCCGATAAGTGACCAGAACATACTTAAACAGATCATAATGAACTGGATATAAAGAGCATGTACATTAAAAAATACATATTGTGGTCAACATTTATACAACTATATAATAATAAATAATTTTTTGTATATAAAATTAAATTGAATTAAAGGATAATTATACTTGATAGTAATAATCCAATAATCATACTACTTAATAAGTAAAATTAAACATTTGAAATATAAAACATTACTTATTGCGTGATAAAAAAGCGACCGCCTCCCTCACGTGTAAGGTTTGTTCTCTCGGTGCGACATTAGTGCGCCACAGATATTGATCGTCGCGTTTTGGGGAGTTGCTAGCGTTGGAGGGATTATACGGGTGGGCAGGCGTGCGTACAGCAAACAGGCAGAGTTTTGATCGAAGCGGGGTATCGGCTCGGGCTCTTAGGAGGGCCATTGAACAATCATGGCAGAGATGGAGGAGATGGTCAACAAATGCGATAACATGGTGCTCGGTGGGATGAGGACGAATTGATTCTGGACGAGGAGGTCGTTGGCGAGGAAGATGCTTCGAATCGTAGCAGCACCTTTCATGTTGTTGGCACTGTTCTTACAGACAAAATAGTGAAGTTTCCAGTGCTCAGGGATCTCATGACGTCTATCTGGCGTCCCGGAAAAGGAATACTATCAAAGAGATAGACGAGAAGAGGTACTTGTTCACTTTTTATCATATTGTTGACATGAAATGTGTTCTAGATGGTGGACCGTGGCTATACCAAGAAAATTTGCTGGTTTTGAGGGCGCTGAAATTGGGGGATGTCCCTCTCAGGTTTCCCCTGAATGAGGCTAAATTTTAGGTGCAGGTACATAATGTACCTTATGATTATATGAATTTAGGAGTTGCTAGGTGTCACGCCCCGGACCTACCGGACACGTCAACAACCCGCCGTACAGTACGAATAGTCAACCGCAGTCCAACTCATCCATACTATACTAGGCGTCATGAATATCATTCACAATAGTACATCCATAAACAATCATAATGCAAAATATTTAATCAAGCAGCGGAAACGTTAATACAAATATGCATGCCACACGTGGCGAACACGGGCGTACAAGCCCCAATAAATATTCAAATAGTATCCATGAGCAATATTTAAAATGTTTTCAAAACAGGAACGGAAGAAGCACGAACCACGTCTCCTCCCTTGAATCTCCCCGAAGCAACGGCGGCGGTAGCAACCTTCAAGTCCTACCTGAAACTGTGAGGTGGCCTCCCCCGTGAAGGGGAGGTCAGTACTTGGAAGCATTTGACAAGTACAATGACAACTATACTAAGTATAATCAAAGTTTCAATCTCCAAGACCCTCACATAGGGTGATAATATAATATAGGTCATAACCCGTGGTTACCCTCTTTGAAAATATACTTACTTTATATATAAAGTCAAGTAGTCAGCCCGAAGACCCATGTTTTCTTTGAAAACGTTCAACCCTTTCCCCTGACTTCAAGTCACGCCCATCTATATTAGTTCACCATGCTAGAGGCTTCCTCTAGTCATGTTTTACCGTGCTAGAGGCTTACTCTAGTCCCTAAACTCGGTGTTAGAGGCTTCCTCTAATCACCTTACATACTTTGTGCTGGAGGCTTCCTCCAGTCACATTACATTATGCTAGAGGCTTCCTCTAGTCATCCTACACGAATGCTGGAGGCTTCCTCCAGTCATTCTTCATCGTGCTAGAGGCTTCCTCTAGTCACGATACTAGTTCGTCCTACACGAATGCTGGAGGCTTCCTCCAGTCATTCTTCATCGTGCTAGAGGCTTCCTCTAGTCACGATACTAACTCACTAGCAAATCCTATGCTTAGAGTTCCTCAATCTTGAGTAGCCAATGCGGCCTACTCCTAATGTAACTTAGTGGTTACCCATTCCTACCTTAAGGCATCTCATAAGACTACTTAAGGTGCATCCTTCACAATCCAAGTCCTTAGGATTTGTTCTATCACTTTTTATACAACATTCCCGATTAGTAAATTAAATACTAATCCATAAATCTTTAAACAGCCAAGCATCCTTAACTCATAGTTATAAGGCTCATTCCTATGGATTTTCTAATCCGTATACGATTTAATCTCAATATCAAAAATATCACTTTTATCCATTCATGATTTCTATACATGAAGTAAAAGTATATTTTATCACAAAATTCATGGTTTATACAATCATTATACCTTCACATTTATTATGCATCATCATACACAATTTCTCATAGATTTGTATGTTATGCATCTTCCATTCACAAACGATGATATTTTCATCTAGGCATTTTTTATCATTAATAAACCATGAAAATCACATTTAATTACTTTAGGTAATCTTATGAAACTAACCCAAAGATTATAAGCAATATAGTCAGCCATCCTCACCTTGTGATGTGCTACAATAGTTGCCTTTGCTAAGCCCCTCGATCAATCCCCGTTCTAGGCCGATTGAAGGCAAAAATCCTGGACAGTAGCCCAAAGCCGGGCGGCTTTCACCCAAAGCCGGGCGGCTTTCGTAGTCTGCAGCTACGAACAGCTTCCTTCAGGTGGCGGTTTCCGGCGATTTCAACTCCTATCGATTCCACGATTCTTCTAAGTTAATTACCACCACTTTATAGCATTATTCTACACTTTTAAACGTGTAGAACTCCATGTTTAATCCACCATATGATTTCTTAAAAACCATACAAAAATAATACTAGTTAAAGGAGATAAGTGAGTTCTTACCTTCCTTAGAGCTAGCTTTCTACTTGGATTTCTTTCTTCTTGCTTCCTTCAAGTTATGGTCTGTGGGAGAAGTGTTTTGCCAATGCTCCTCTTCCCTTGGTCTTGTTCGAATGATTGCTCAAGTGGTAGAGGAGGGGTTCCTCTCACCCAAGACAAAATATGGGGAGGGATTGGACATGAGGTATGGGTTTTGTCTCAATGAGACTTCCCCCTTACATTCACACGTACCAGCCATGTTCGGTTGCTTCTTCTCCCTATTATTTGAGACTAGTTGGTGTAGAAAATACCCCAAGTGGGTGCAGGAAGTTTCTCCCAATTATTCCTGCTATTTCCGGTAGGTTGGGCCAAAATAGCACTCGGGTTGTCCAAATATTTTTATCAACTTCGGTTGGCGTTTTATTGGACCCCTATAATTTATTACGATAACCCAACTAAATATTTGGTAGTCCATTCACATTTAACGGACCCGATAAATAATTTGATTAATCGCACATTAATTAAATATGCCAATTAATTACACGAATTTTATTCGCTAGAAAATTCAATACATATCCACTTTCAAATTCAAGTACATTCGGGTGCGGTGTCACACTAGGAGAGTTGGTAATTTCATTGGTAAATTTATAAGTTTTGATGAAAGTCAGTTTGAAGAACGTTGGAATTCCTACATGAGAATTAGGGTCTGTATGGATGTCAGTAAAGCTTTGAAGTGGGTACGACGCTGAGGAAAAGGAGGGAAACCGGGCATAGAGTGGACTTTAAATATGAGAAACTGCCAAATTTTTGTTTTGCTTGTGGTATTATTAGCCATGCTGACAGAGGGAGGGTTAGTCTACATGCCAGAGGGAGGGGGGTTGGGGGTGGGGGGAGCTCAATAGATGAAGGCTAACAAATGGCTCGTGTCAGAAGACTCAAACGGAAGCTCTCTGAACCATCTCGGAAAGAAATAGAGTATTACAAGTGTGAGAGATGGGGCCACTGGACCTGTGGGCCACGGGGGTTAAGGAGAGCGAAATCGGAGCTACAAGAGGACCTTCAGGGGAGCAGAAACGAATAAAGATGTGGGAGGAAAAGCAGACTGCGGAAGGTGGAGGGGATAATATGGCCTTGGATTTGTCAAACGAAGAGGTGGCGGGTCAAGACCTCTAGGCCTGCCGAGAGACTTCAGGCTAATCCGGGATAGCAGAGGCCATAGGTTGTTTGTCAGCAGTGGGAGGATGCAGCTGGGTTTCCACTACTTTATTTTTGTTGTCATTGTTTATTTTGATAAGACTGTCGTTGTTTTTTTATGTTTCTTTTTATTCGGTCAAACTATTGCATTAGGTTGGGCGATAAGGGGTCTATCTTTACCATGTTAGGCTCATTTAGACCCACTACAGGATCAACGAGCCATATTGTTTTCTCTAGGGTGATTGACTCTAAGTTTGGTTCGAGAGTCAGTGATTGGAAGGAGTCCTTTTATCTTCTTGTTCCCTTGCTGAATGTTTTGATATCAATTTAAGCCACCTTATTCCAAAAAATATATATTACTTAATAAGCATTTAAAATACTCTCACACTATTCCAAAATACCTATTACGATTTTTGTCCAACTTTTTAATCCTAGATGAAATAAATAATTAATAGTCCTACACTCCTACTTATCAAATACTA